TTGCAATGACTTAAGTTTTATATAAATGTTCTTCCACCTGTTATTAGAGTGAAGGTGACGCTGTAGATTCCCATCTGTCTTCTTCCTTCCCTCTCTGCTCGTTCCCTCTCTCGCTCCCTCTCTCCTTCTGAGAAAGCGATGTCCACCTACAGAAGAGTCACAACCGACCGAAAGCATTTTCACGATTACAACAATTTCCGGTTACCTGACCTAAATGTCGAGGCTGAGAGGAAAAATGAAAAATAATACTTGGAACTTGACAGGCTTCTGGAAGACAGAGGGGCCGCCGGAGGACTTGTACTCTGCCCGGAAACTGTTCTGAGACACCACGCTGTGGCTGAGGGACGGGATCTGGAGCGGCAGAGGAAGAGGGCGACGTTCAGATACAAAGATAAACGCTCAAGCCGTTAATGTCATCAATGGAAAATGAAGTCATGCCGGTCGTGGCCGAGGCTCGGCGGCACTCACAGAGAGGAAAGCATGGACGATGTCAGCCTTGATGGAGCTGAGCGGCTTGTCCCTGATCATCACGAAGATCTGCTCCTCTTTCTCCAGGCTGATGAAGTTACCGAACCACGACCTCTTGGCCAGCCTGCGAATAAACCAGTGTGACACACGTGATTCTGCTTGAAGTGAACGAACGCTGTGCTCCATTCATGCTAAACATTACAAGATCAAGTCAACCCCCACTTGGTGTGATTTGATTTCACGTATCACAGACACGAGGGAAATCACTGAAGCCCACGGCTCTGACACCACAACACAACTCACGGGCAGGAACTGGACCTGAAGTCCAGGCAAACAAACCGTGATCGCAAACATCTTATAAAATCTTATATTCCTATTTATTAGAGTCATATTGACGCTGCTGTAACAAAGTGCATCTATCTATATCTCTCTATGCAGCTGACGTTTACACCCAGCACAGGTAATATTCATGTTAGAACCAGGATCTTGAAAATACAGTGTCACACAAGAGCATTAGCAGAAAAACAAGAACGCAAACGTGACAATCAGGTGGAAAAGCCACACAACGGAAACACGACGACAGTGGACGTGAGAAACGACGGATGTTGACAGTGAAGCGAGGTCGGAGCAGCTGCACCGTAAAACACCTCGAACACACAAGCATCGAATTTCATCCACGCTTCATCGTCCACATCTGTTGTCGCTGCCGTTGTGGTTTTTCCGTTCTTGTGGCTTTTGTGGTTGTGTTGATGTTTTTGCACTTGGACAGAAAAACACAGAATTATCAACAGAGACGTGTGGACTCACTCTGGACTGGACTCTGGAGTCAAACTGGACATGTCCTCTGATGTAGGGACTAAAACAACAGAGAGAGAGAGGAGAGGGAGAATAGAGGAGGAGAGTTTTCATGACATGTCACAAATAAACAAATACAGAGTGAGATAAAAAAACCAAAAGAATAAATCAGTCGGATTCAGTTCGTAGCTTCATTTTAGAGGAACTTAGTCGGATGTAATGTTTCTGGTCTGATTCGTGTCTTTGTCCTTGGTTCACCTTGCAGTTTGCGCCGATGGAAGCGCGGTGAGCCCAGCAGGTTGTTTTTGAACGAGTTGAGCCTTGTCCTCCAGTGGGCGGAACTCGAGGCGGCCAGCCCGCCGCTGCCGCCCGGGCTGGAGGGCGGGGTCAGCGACAGCGAGGCCCCGCCGGCTCCGTCGGCTCTGGAAGAAGAAGACGACGAGGAGGAAGAGGGAGGGGTGGTGGAGGAAGGGTGTTGGATTTGGTGCACGGGCGTGCCCAGTGGAGTGGGCAGCGGCGAGCCCTGTGGCGTGACCTGTGAAACAGGGGGAGGGGTGGCAGAGGAGTTAGAGGGCGAGTGGGAGTTCTTGGACTTGAAGACAGATGGCGAGGGGAAGTTGAAGAAGCGTGGGATGGGAGAGAGGAGCGGGGACGGAGACGGTGAGGGGGAGCGTGGAGTCTGAAGTGGGAGGGACTTCATGGAGTGAAGCTGGGGTCGGTCAGCGGGGCCCTTTGAGGGCAGGGTCTGGGTTTTTGGGTCAGGCACCGGGCGGGTGGGCCGGGCGCTGGTAGTGGCACTTCCTGGTTTTGGGTCTTTGGAGGAGGGAGCGGAAGTGGAGGTGACTTCTGATTGGCTGAAAGTGAAGACCGGACTCTGATGGACAGACAGAGAGATATGGGGAGAAGGAGGGAAAGAGGGATGGACAGAAAGTAATGGTCATGAATTATGAGTCATGGACACAGTTGATCAACAAGCCTCCAACAAACAGAAGATGATCTCTGGGATTTCTCCTCTCAGGTTATGTTCCCGTGTCCGTGACCACATGTGAGCACAGAGGCAGCGGGACGTGTCCATGAGGTGAGATGAACATGACGGTGACACGGAGATGGAGACGAGCTCAAACAGATCAGGGAGCAGTTTATAATCTATGACCTCAGAGTGAAGGCGTCAGGTCTGACAGTGAACGAACACGGCTGCGTCTCACGTGCAGGTTTGTTAAACAGGTTAAATACCAGAAATCTACAGCCCTGCAAATATTTCACAATAAAAACCTTGAATGGATTCAGCTCGAGTGCTTTTACTTTGACACAGATACGAAAGTTTCGTTTGCGAGGCACTATTTTCAGCTGTGGATGAATACACAACCAGTGCATGTTGTGGATGGGACACGTGTATCTATGATAATGAAGGAGGAGCTGTGTGAAGCAGCTGTGGTGAGAATGATGTGAGACAGCAGGTTGGACCAGAGGGACAGACGTTCTTACCCTGGGGCTGCTGAGAGGACTGGACGACAGGCCCGTGGACGCTCCGCTGACCGAACGAGACCTTTCAAAGAGACGACAACAAGACAGACGTCAAAAGATTCCTCTGCACTTTACAATCGTGTTGCTTCCTCTTGTCACAGTTTCACTCGACTAAACAAACGTCGCGGTGCATCGGCGTCGGTTCAAACCTCTGGCTGTGTGCGCTCGTGTCCAGAGCCCTGCGGGGTGGGGTGGGAGACCCCTGTTCTGTGACACTGAGGACTTCCAGGCTCTTCCTCTCTGGACGACAGCGACCGTGACGCGTCAACATGGGCGAGTCCACGCGCTTCCTGGGGGGGTCTGTGAGGAGAGACATATGGAAAATGTCAAGACTTCAAATGAAATCCTTTTATTCTACAAAAATATACAAAGACGCTTTTATTCATTTGTATTTATTAGTTTTTTTCCAAATATAAGCTGGAATGAGGACGACTGTCCTCACCGAGGTCGTTTCTGGGCGGCAGGTCCTCGTCCTCACAGCTGGGGTATCGCTCCTTCCTGTCCAACAGGAGGTAGTAGATCATCTTCTCCTGGTTCTCCCTGAAGACAGAGACGCAGAAATCAAAGGTGAGAAACAGAGACAGAGAAGACACAAGACTTTTCAGGATCTGCAGAGTGAAAGCAACGAGAAGAGAGACTCAGAGGTTAACCTGACGTGTGACCAGTGGATTTCCTGGCGTTGGATTAACTTTGTAATTTGCAGCGTAAGTGTTTGACGGATGTACTCACTCCTCACTTGTAAGGTCCTGTGTGAGTTTGACCCTGTCTCTGAAGCAGCCTAACGAGTACATGCTCTCCAGCACGTCGGGGTCCAGCTCCGTTAACGACACGATCCTCTTCACACACACGCGTCGCGGCGGCGGCTGCTCCGGACACGGCTCGTTGCGGCCGCTCCTGACAGGAAGACACCAGCGCATGGAGTCAGGGAGGCTGCAGGACAGATTCTACAGGTTTTCTATGAAGGCATTTAAACAGGCTGCAACAGGAAACCATGCGTGATGAGATGAAAGCACGTAGAGTCGTTTCTGTATCTACAAGATAAATCAATCACAGTCTGGACAGAACGTCTCTGTTTATATTTCATATTGAAATCAACGAGAGGAGACAGAGATTCTCCCGTGTAAGAAAACTGAAAGTTGAACTTACTGGTACCAGGCGTGTTTCTGTATTGCTTCAAGCTGTAATCAAAAATAAAACACAATATTAAAACACGTTCAATGAAAAATTTAAAGCATTTACTGGACAACTTAAAAAAAAAAACTGTATTTTTCAGCCTGAAGCTGAAACTAAAGGTGAAAGTTTGAACGTGTTCACGACCTGCAACAGCAAACACGTGTCGGAAAGTGATCATTCGCAATGGTTTATGGGAAGTGTGGTCCCTTCACTCCTAAAATAATTATGTCCAATTATAATAATGTCAAGTTTGCAGTTGAACGTTTTTCCAATATTTGAATTGCTGTGAATCAAATGTCTTAATGTCCTGATTGGTCTCGCGGCTGCTCGGCCTGGTTCCACCGTTAAAACTCTTTTGAACGTCAGAGGAGAAACCGAGGGATGAGTTGACATCAGGAACCAGAGCGGTTCTAGAAGTGGACGCTCGCTGATTCTACCGCTCGTTTGCTCGTGTTGTGTTTGCTAACCACAGGTTTACAGTGTGTCTCTGGTTTGGTTTCCATGGAGCAGACGAGCTGAGACAGTCTGACCTGGTTTCAGGCTCCATTAATCAACAGCTCATCTCACAAACCCACAGCTTTGATTAAATCTGCTCCGTTTTAGCTCCACGACTAAGTGACCAGACGTTTCGCTTGTTCTTTATTTCACGGCTCCACATCCTCACGTCGTCTCTCTGTCTCATAACCACCGAGCTCGTCTCTACCCTGCACGTCTGCTTTAGCCCAGCTTCCCTTCATGAGCAGTGGAATTTCTTCCTCTCGTCCGTTGTCATTTATTCATTCGCTCACCCCCCCCCCCCCCCCC